TCTAGGATTATCGTTTCGCTTAACCTGAGCGATCGATTGTTTCTCTTCTAGATGTTCCCCTCTAGGGATACATCTTTGTCCCAGTCCACCCGACTTATTCGAGTGGTGGACCTTCGGCGCAGCCTGTGTTTCCTCACAGCCGCCGGAACTTTGCTCCGAAGTGTAACCGTTTGGTACACTAAGGTTTTGTGCAGTCGTACTAACGACCGTACCACAAGTGAGGCCATCGCACTCACTCGTAGTACATCCACACGCTTGTGGACGCTCCAAAACGTTCATCAGATGGCCATCTGATGAACAAGCGGCAGGCATCGTTACTGTCCGATGTTGCCAGTTTACCCGTGGTTCGTACCTTCTGAGCCACGGCATTCCAAGGATGACATCAAATTTGTCATCCAAATCCAATACGATAAAGTCATCGTCATATTGGGCATCTTCTAGCGTATAGTGGATCTTCACTATACGCTTCATGACGGTTACGGATGCGCCTGTCGCAAGACGTACCGTCATCCTCGTAGGAGGTGTGTCACATTCACTGAATTTAAAGTGACCATCTTCTAGCGATTGGCGTCGCACAAAATTGTTGGACGCCCCACAATCGACTAGAGCTCGAAGGGACAACTTATTTGTCACTTCGAGTTTCAAGGTAATGAGTGAGACCTCATTACCTAGAGCAGCAACGCACAACGTTTGTGTGTTGGGAGCAACCTTCATCAAGAGGCCTACAAATTCTCTTGACGTTGCTAGACCAGTAGGGTGCTCCGCAATTACTGATCCTGTCCGTTTTTTGACGGTCCATCCCGTTGTTGCGTCTTTGCACCAACTGCGGACCCTCGTCCCTGCCCCTTTCTCATGGGTGGACGGTCACTACGCCCAGTGTCGCGAGACACTGGACGAGGGGCACTACACTCGTAAGCGTAGTGTCCTGTCTTTTGACATCTGTTGCATCTCTGCAACTTCTTGTAGCCTGTAGAGCGAGCCTTCTCGCTCTCTACATAACAGAGTTCCATCGGCTCTGGACCTCCGTTGTCATATCGTCTCGGTTGACGAAATGATGTCGAGCTGGCGCGAGCCTGTCTCAGACTGAAGTCTTCCTGCTCCGCAATGGAAATGGCTTGTTCTAGTGAATCTAGTTCAAGCCGGAACAGGTGAGTCTTGACGGGACCATCCGCAAGACCCTGCATGAACACCGAAACCAACGTGTGTTCATCCACCGGATTGGAACTTATACAACTCGTGAGATGTCGTATATGTTGAGCGTAAGCGTGCACATCACGCTTACCCTGCTTGAGCTTCAAGAGTTCGGTTCGAGCCCTGAACTTAGCTCTAGGCGGTTCAAACGTTTGTCTGAGCCGCGACTTGAAGACTTCCAACGACCCAAACGCATATGGGTCGTGCAACTTGAGCCCCAGTGCCCAAGTCTTGTCACGTCCTGCCAGATTTGATTGGGCGAATGCAACTTGCATATCCCCGTCGTCGATGCGACGCGCCCTTATGGCGTCGTCTAATTCGACGAACCATCTCAAGAGGGAGTCCTCTTCGACTCCCCTATACTTGGAGATGTCAATCTTCAAGGTTTCGGGTCGAAGCGAGTGCATCGGCCCGCCAGCAGCAGCCTGCTGCCGCCTCAACAGTTCAAACTGTTGAGCACCCTGTTCTCTCAACAACTCTGCTTGTTGAGAACCTTGTTGGTGAAGCAAGGCTACTTTCTCGCGTTCTGCGTCAAGTTCATTTTGAATGAACTTGGCGATAGTAGCATGTTGGGCATCTCTATTGAGAGCCTCTAGCATGACGCTAACAGCATGGATGCCCATGGTCGAACCCATTCGTTCAACCGCATCCCATTCGACATCGCTCAAATGGGAGTAGCCGTCACGCGTAGCGTGAAAGCTTTGGTCATCTTCATCATCCAACATATTCATGTTGGATGTGAACGCGGTCCTTGGACGGACTACGAAGTGCTACCAGGTGTAACGGGGCACCCTGAAGCTTGTACTGGTGACAGTACAAGCTACTTATTCTGATAACAGAATAAGGCGGTGCCTCGTAACTTCACGTACACTCGTACGTGCAGAGGAAGACGGTAAGAAGAAGCGAGTACTTGGTTAGAGTAAAAAGTAGAACTGTATTTATAATAGTTAATGTCTGCAATAAATCCCTATTTATCTTCATCTAACTATGTCTAAATACAAATGTGTAAATCAAATATCTGCTCACCACTCATTGCGTGCGTCTGTCGTGGCGCGTCTTCGTTGGTTGATATAATGGCCTATGTCAACCAATTAGGAACTACTCGTAAGTGCAACAGAATATTTGTCCTTATGACAATATTCTGAGAATCTAACTCTTATAGTTATATTCTATTAACAATTTCTTATAAATTGTTATGTAACGATACACCCCGTTACACACAGTCGTTGCTTGTAAATTTGTTACAGTTTCTTGGTTACGCGCAAGACTCGTTCAGACATGGGCTCATAATATACACCTTGACACACAATGATATATATTACTTAGCTTAGCTCTTTCTGGCTAAAGACGACTTGGCTGGGACTTTGCACTTTTTGGACTGAGCTATTCCTGTACACGGTTGCAGCTAACCTGCTAACCGTTACCTTCGTCTGTCGACTCGTCCCATTCTAATATCCGTCGTCTCCCTGATCCCTTGTTTCAACCGACGGACGGTAAACGTACTTTAGACGTTCCAACGGCTTCAAGCTGAGAACATATTACAACAGCCGACACCAGCGTCGGCATGAAGAACAACTGCTGTACATTATGACAACGAGCACTGCCACTTTGCTGTTTTCCTCTTCCAGTGACAGTGGCGACGAAGTGATGTCTAGTGCGCAAGGAGGCACCGCAAGGGAACATGCGACACTGTCTCCATCGGGCTCACAATTGGTTGTTACATAGTGATCACGTTGCACGTGCATTAGTTCGTGTGCATATGTGCTCCTTTATTCTGTCGTGATTACGACTGTGAGTTTGTGCTATGTGCAGCCATCTTCATTCCATACTGGACACCGACCAGGCCAATTGGAATTCGAGCAGTAATGAATATAATTGAAGATGAGCACAAGAATACTCCACATCATCGCAAGCGTGGGCTGATTGCACCGTTTTGCTGTCGTAGAAAAGAGAGTCACGACTTTGTTTAAGCAATCACTTAGTGCAGACAACGGGCCCAATGATGCTGGGAGTGACCACAGCACATCGTCTTCATCAAAAGTTTGATGGACTGTAAAATTCGTGCGATATTGAAGTTATGTGCCTGAGTTCTGGTCCTTTGTACATGGTCGCAGACACCAGGAGCTAGACTCTGTGAATCAGCCAAGCATCAGATTCAAAGTACGATCATGATGAGGCCTTAGATTTAAAAAAACTGTAGTCATGGCGTATCTAAATAAGAAATAGGTCCTTTCAGGATGCTGCTGATAAAACTCCATCAATTACTTTTCAATTTGCTATCTGGAGCCTGCAAGCTCCCTTAACTCGTGCGGATTTCCGTTCCTACTATTTTCCTTGTGACAACCTTCCTGTGTGACAGCACTTTAATAAACGAGGTACGTGAATCTGACATTTGGCTGCTCTACATGCTGCTGAGCATGTCAACTGGCCGATAGGCACGCCACCATACCCTAAACTGCTGTTAACATCATCCATCGTGATCAGAGCAGAAGTTTATGTAGATCTAGCAGTACATTTTCCTCGAAACATACTGCAGCACTCAAAACGTCGTGAGATTTGTCGATGTAGTCTCTCTGCAGCATCATTTCGTGACCAATCTGATGCTACTACTTCAACCATGAATAATCTATTCACTGAACATTAAGACACAGCTTCATCTCCATTTGTCTGACGTTAGTCTTATAGTTGATTCTGGGCCCACCAACGACAAGAAACATGCAGTGACCAAGGTTTGTTTGGGTTTTACTTTTTTTTTTTTTTCCATTTTTTTTTTTTCTTTTTTGGGGGGGGGGGGAAGACACAAGAGGGGCTTTTCTCGTGTGATCTCCACAATTCGAAAAGGATTGGCTCTCTTCGATGATATGGCCCACTGGCTGGATCAGGTTTCGTCACGAATTACAACTGAACTTCTTGTGCCGCATTTCTTCTGCAGCTGCTGCTGCCCTATCTTCAGCACCATTGACAGTGCCTGATTCAACACTATAGCATTCGGAGTTTGCAAAGGTATCGACAATGTGTAGACTGACCGACGACGATAACCATTGCAACAACAAATCGTAGTAAGTAATCGAGAGATGTGCGGCAAATGGAGGTAGTCGGTTGGGTACGCCGAATGACAGGCAGAAAGAGTTAAAGAAGTGGCATTATCTGTAGACACAAACAGGAGCGAAATGTACTCGTCGGTCATTGCATACCCCGAACGTTAGTGGCCACATCGAGTCCAACTAGGCAACAAGCAACTGGACCATTTCCTGGATGCAGCCAAGAAGTTGTCGAAGGACATTCTGATAAATAAAAGCGCAGCGAGCACGTTTGATTGCTGCAGTTCTTTGCGGCTTGTACTTTGCCCAGTCATACACTTGCGCTCATTGCTGCGGCTAGCGCTGTTCAAACACGGTCGTGGGAGGTTACCAGAAACATCACAAAGCTCGTTGTACCCGTTCACCCAAAAGAAACAAATTACAGCAGTGCAGACATGGGATGAGCACGGTGCATGTTATCAACCATGTCATCTGACAATACAAGTGTCGCAAATAAGATTTCTATGTATGATTGGATCGGTTTCAAACAGAGCGCAGGGGCATCTTTCAATAAGGACGCCACAATTGTGTCGATGTCTCCATGTTAAACGGACCATCACGACCTTGTAAAGCTCTCGGTGTCTGCCCAAACAAAAAAGGCTCTGCCATGGCTCCGACGAATCATTCCCACACATGTCCGCCGTGAAGAAACATCATGCTACTGTCGGACCGGATCAAGACTCAATTGCCGTGATGTATGTCATCACGGTTTTTTTTTCGTGACGTGTGCTAGTTCATTCGTCCAATGCAATTCGTGGCGTTACAGTCGCAGCGAATCGCTTCGTCTTCGATCGGAAATTTGTAATCGTACGTCACCTCGTCCCCCATCGCAATTGCACGCTTGGCAAAAATCACAATTTTTTTCTCACCACCTTCTACCGCGACGACACGTGCAAAAGCTTTGGGGTCACACGAGTGGTTGATAAAACGAGCGAGGTTACCGCAACGCGTGGCATCGATAATCGTCTTCTCATCCAGTCGAAACATGTAGCAACTACCAACCCCTTGCTCCTCATAGCGACGTTCTCGAGCGTCGGCCACGAGTTGACACACTATTTGGCCCTGGTACTCGACAATCATCTGTCCTTCGTTCACAGGTTCTTTCAAAAACAAACCATAGCCATGGATTGACGACTTGCGCACCAACATGCGCTCGTCAAATGGTCGACGACGTAACTCCCGATACTGCATTGTAATCGGTAGGTGCTCAATGTCCATTGCCACGGCCCCGGTACTAGCAGTCCCATTGCCTGTACTCCCACTGTTTGCAACTCCAGGTGCGGGCTCGTTGCTCGCTTCTTTGTTGAGCACTTGGCGCCGTGGCATTGTTTTTCGCTTCTTTGGCGTGCCAAAAAGGCGGTTACCGGAAAAGCCGTCGGTCCGTGCGCACCCGGAAGATCGACGTGCACGCTGCTCAGCCTGGACCAACTGCTCCATCACTCGTTCCGCCGCCTGGAACGCCTTGACAGAAGGAAGCTCATGCGCAAACTCGTAACATTGCTCTTCTTCAGTATCTTCTATCATTGCCTCGACCACATCTGCTGCACCTGCCGCACTTTGCTCCATTGTCTCAAAGCTTCTCTTTCGCAGATCAGATCTCCAAGTTGCTGCCGCGGACCCAGCCAACGGACTCTGCCCCTGACGTTGCTGCTGCTGTCGGAGCTTCTTCACGACGGAACGGCGGTTGATGGCTGTAGTCGCAGCATAGGGGAGCTCTTCGATGTGGCGGGCAATTTCAGGTAGTCCAAAGCCAAAAAAGAAGTCACCTCTCAATGCAAAAGAGAGCCACGAACTGCGTTTCAAAAACGGGTTCGGCTCCATCTCCACCGTAGCGCTCTGACCAACGTGCAGGGAACTAGCAGAAGAATCTCGCTGCTCTTCGTACAGTGATGCCACGCGACTGCGTAGCTCGACAAGCGCAGCTTCAGGTGTGAAAGCAACAATTGGCCGCCCCTTGTCATCAGAAGCTGTGACTTTGAACACTGCCCGTGGTTTCTGCTGCGGTCGCTCGCACTCGCTGTCTTCAATCTGGTCACTGCCTGCAGCCTGATCTTCCATCACTCTCGTTTGCCGAGCGTGTCGACCTTCAATCTCAGTGCTAGAAATCACACATTCGTACAGACAGCGTGTTCCCAAGTTGCGCGTGCTCCAGAAGATACGCGTACTACGGAAGCCTAACGGATAAATGGCCGTTCGTGAATGAAAGCTTCCGTTGCCGACGAAAATGTGCCCAAGAGAATGAACAGTCAGCGCACCAACACGGTAGCACATCGGTCGTGGCTTGATGCCACGTTTGAGTTCCGCGCGCTTCTTCTTCTTTAGGTCCCACGCTGTCAAAAGCGGTGGATCACTGACAAGGCATCTTCGCGGTTCTGTTCGAGGATTGATAACAGGCAGCACATGCTGCGCATGCTTCGGTAATTTCGCCTTGGCACTTCCGTTATTTGACTTCGACTTGTCTTGTTGAGCCTTTCGAGATGCGTCATCGCTAATCCTCCTGTCCAAAACATTTTCTTCCTCCATCTCACCAGTAAACATTGTCATCGCATTACTGCTGGCACTATCGTCGGTGACAAGTAGCGCATTGGCCTCTCTTGCGCCCTCACCAAGTAAGGCACTGCTACCGGCATCTCTTGGGTTGTCGTACCCTTTTCTTTCTTCTTCTGCAGACCTTGGCAAATCTAAATCCTCCATGTGACTTGCGCCAACGGTTGTCGCACTTGTTTCATCGTCCGTTCTGACATCATCTTTTGTTGCACTTGTTTTTTCTTTCCCCGAACATACTGGCGAGTCAACTTCTACCTTCGACTCAGCACCGTAAACCACTGCTGCTGAAGCTAACGACCCGCCATTCATAGCTTTTAGTCTCCGTGCCACACTATCCAAATGCGTTGCAATGGGGCAGCAAGTTTCTCCGTTAGGCAAAAAGGCAACTCCAGCATCCAGTGCGCATGGAAAGTGATAGTGTGTCGTGCAGCGAGGAACAGCGCAACCAATTGTTGCGCCCATGAGTCCACATCCATCGCAGCGAATGAGACGACTGCGGTGTTTTGCCTTACTGCAATTGTGCAACACACCTGACTCGCCCTCGTATACCTCCATGGACCATAGCGCACAATTTACATGAACCCAAGTGTCAAAGTCGGTGTAGAGCAATCGTCCGCACGCCGTGTTATCACCGACTATAAAACACAGCGCGCAAAATCGATCGTCTTCAGATACCACAGTCGTCGATGTTTCCGGGGATACGCCGCCATTCGCCTCTTCAACGCGTGTGGTTAGCCAACCTCGCAGTGGAGTTGCAGATGCCGTGCAACTCATCATACCGCTGCTGTCGCGCGACAAAGATACTGACAATGGCGACTTCCACGCTTGACCATGAGAAGCAGGTGCGACGACATGTGTATTGACTTCAGTCATACATTGAGCTGACCCTGCCACCTTCGACACATCATCATTATGGCTAGCTGTAGAAAAGTTCGTTTCTCCGCTCGGCGGAGTTGGCGTCAAAGTTGCAGGGCCACTTGCACGATCGCCGAAATCACGCGTCGTCGATTCTACCGATGATTTATCTGCGAGACGTCCCATGGCTATGCGACGATCGTGCTGATCCTTGATGGCTGCGATTTCCTTCTCCAACTTCAGCCTCGATTCTACTTCCCCAACATGAGCATTTCCACCAGCCTGCGCACATCTCAGAAGCGACATGTCCAGCTTTCGATGCTTTACTCCAGCACCAGATTCCTCATCTCTTGACAGCATATGAATAACAACCTCAGGTAGCGGCCGCCACCCATACAGCACATGCACACATGCCAGGAAAGCGGCACAGCTAGCAGCTTCAGAAACAATTGTATAGATGGCACCTGCATTCTTGTGGGTGTTTACATCAACAGCTTGCTTTGCGTGACAGCTCTCAAGTTTTTGCTTGCGACGCCGAGCCGCTGCACGCGGCCCACGCACATACCTCTTGAACCGCACATAGCGACTTGCCTTGCGCAGTATCCACTCCGGCAAAGAGACTCCGCGTTTATCGAGTTCTTGCTGCTTCGTAGCACGGTACCAGTCACTTTGAAAGCTAAGGCTTTGATAAGCAAAGTCTCGCAGACACTCTTCACCCAGGCGCAGCACGTGTAGGTAGACAGGAGTATATTCAGCTAGACGTTTCCAGTGTTCAACCTGTTCCAACTGCATCTGAGTTTCTTTCCAACCTGAATGACATTGCAAGCGCCTCCGCTGAATATCGGCAAGAAGGATTTGACAGCGCCAGCTGTCAGCGTCAGAAAAGAACCTGTCGGCAATATGCTTACGTTCATGCGGACGACAAGCGGCACATACGTACACCGCATCAGGGCTACTCACTAGAGTGTGGTAGCGCTGTGGCTCCACTTTCAGCATCTCATCGCAGAACGGATGCACCCAGTGTTCACAAGCATCGCACTGCATGAGCTCCTCAAACTCAGCATTCCACTTGCGTCGACATAACGGGCACTTCTCTGCATCTCTCTTGCGTACGCGCGCTGCTGCATTCCAGACTTCCGCTAATAGTCTGATACGACCCTTTTGTGCTTCTTCTTCACTTTCTTTGAAAATGTGGCAATGCAAACACTTGCTTCGCTCGTAACTATAAGTGCGCTCCAGTGCCACTGCGTGGTTATTCTTTGTTTCTCCAGACTTCAGAGACTCGATGCTGCCCCCTGAATCAACCTTGCACTTTGTGCACGCCACACAGCTCGAGCAGTATATAGTAGGAACCTCCCTGCTGCCGTCGTTTCTGTTACAAGCCGTAGGTAATTTAATGGACGGAACTAAGCATAATCCGTGATAGCCACGATCGCAATGAGCGCATAGCACAAGTGAATCGTTTCCAGATAACTCGTGCGTCAGATCCATCGCTCCTTCAGTCACTTGCGTAGCGGGAAGTAGGAAATCCACGTTTCCAGCAGTAGCAACAGCACGACTACGCAAATCGTCAGGTACGCAAACAGTGCCAGATCGACCACATATCTGACAAATCTTGCAGTTGAGACAGCGCCAACAAGGATGCAGTTGTTTGCAGCCTTCCATACGAGCAGCCCTCATTCCTGGTATACAGAACGAGTGAAAGCCTTCGCCGCAGTCTATACAAAAGACAAAGTCACCTTGGAGTCCTGTGCTGCCGCACACTATGCACATATCTAGCCAGCTGGAGGTATGAGCTGATGCGCGGGTCTGTGTGATCTGAAAAAGCGGTATACGCGAGATGAAGCTGCTGACACGGAGCTTGGTCTGGAAAACAAGTAAGTCGTTTGGGTCAGCAAGGTGCTCAGCCAGTGCCGAGACGGCAGCTGACGTTGTGCTGTTTGCTGTCGACGAAAGAGCGACGTCAGTGACGAATCCGCTTTGTTTATTTTGTCGCGTGGAATTGAGAAGTATGCCGCTTCCATTGCTCTTGTGAACAGATGCAGCGTCCGAAACATGCTTGCAAGCCGACCTCTTCGGCATACCAACAATTTCACGATTCTTAGCTCCCCCGCTAGATGCATCCGGTCCTGGATCCGAGCCGTTGTCGCCGTCCTCATCGTCATCAAGGTCATCATCATCCTCATTGCCGCAACAATCTTCACCATTCTCGAATGAATCTCTATTAGATTGCGTTTTGCCTGCAAGCGCAGAATTGTTGGGTAGCTGCCGCTTCGCGGCGACTATCAGAGCATCGTAAAAGCGTCCCCCGCGATGCTTCATTCGTGCTTTGGGTGCTATTTGTCTAAATATTCTCTGTCCTTGGCCATAGAACCGCCAAGCCTCACGCCAAATAAAGAAGTCGCGCTCCTTCGAGTTGAAGGTTACCGCATTCAGGCACATGAGCTCAAAGTCGTCCCGAAAACCACAAAAATTGACAGATCCGTACCCCCCTTCAATGACTTTCTGCCGCATAGTACTCAAATCCATAGGTGACTTAATGACGTCGAAATAGGTAGGTGCAATTGCCTCGGTCACTGGTTCCTTGAACAAATCCAGCTTATCTTCGGCATCCAGGCGATAAAGGATGTGCAGCATACGGATCTTGCGACACGTTAGGCACTCATAATTATGCAACACTCTCGGATCGTACTCACCTCCAAACTGCAACAAACGGGCAACATCTTCTTCCACCTGCTTGGCACTCTTGGCAACTGTATCATCTTTGCTTGCAGAGTTCAACGCGTTCAATTGTGTTTCGTGATCTGATGCAATTTGGCTGTCACCAGGGCTATTAGCATACAATGTCAATTTGATGTCGGTTTCACGGTTCGCTGTAGTAATAGAGTGTTGAAAATCGGCCACCGCATCAGGTGGATTGCCGAATACGTCCGTCATGACATCTAGTGTAAAGTCGTCGGTGCTGTTGAACACGTGAAAAGCTGGGTGCGGGTCCGGTTCGCAATCAGCATGAATCCAATGATGGCATGTCGAACATGCCAGCATTTTTATGCTAGTTGCTAGTTGTGCGTCGTTGTAGACAACATCACAAACACTGCAATACTGATTGGCTTTGTAGTAAGGAATACACTTCGAGCAAAGAGAAACGGCCCGTAATGGAAGCCGCCACTGAGAACATCGTGTGCGACACTCTTGCTCACCATTCAGCATCGTTTTCTCGCTGGTGCAGAGCGCCTCGGTTTGAGGTGGTCCTTCAAAGTTCTTCGCAAGGCAACCTGAGCACACCGTGCAATCACTACACACAAACGGTATATTCAGATCCGTTGCTAGTACCTGTCCGTCGTCCGGGTGCACGAGCGATATCGGTGCGTGCGGCGGATCACAGCAGGTTTTGTGGAACCATCGATTACATTTCGCGCACACTATCATTTCTTCCGCATGGTCCCGACTGTGTACTGCACTGTGTGTATCGATATCGTCTCGGGACTCGTCTGGACCTATCAAACAGTGACTGCACGGATTCATCATGCGATCTTCGTTACGTTTCCGAGCAGCGTCAGCTGAGTCTCGAAGCATGCCAGATTCTTGAAGAATGGCTCTTTCCAGAAGCTCTTTGGAGTGAAAGTCACCAGAGATGCCTCCGCCCACACCAAAACCACTCAGCTCGAGCAAAATCGCCAGCTCACTAAACGCGCGGGTGTCGTTAAAATGGTACACAATACCACCACCAGCACATTGGAGCAGATCGACCACGATCTCGACATTGCTATCGTCGGCATCAACCGTATCGCTATGAGGTGATATGACGTGTTTCCCCGCATCGCTATCGAACCTTTTGACTGCAAATGTTCCCGGTATTAGGTTGCACGACCCCGAAGATGTGACGACAATGATTTTACCCACCATTGACTCGACGATTTGATCATAGCGGCGTCTAACATCTGATTTCGCAGACGCAGAAGTTGCCAACGCTCGTCGAAATACGGCTAGCAATGTTTGAAAGGCCTGGTCGAGGCACTCGATCTCAAGTTGCGCCTCCTTTTGTGCCCTTCTCACTGACTCTTGAAACGGACCTTCTGCATTTTCTGACATTTTAGTCGTTCCTATAACACTTGAAAATCGCGGGTTGAATCGTTTCATGCTCCGACAGAGATATTTGGGGACCCAACACGACACGTACGGTGTCATCTCTACTTGCCCTCCAGTATTCGTAAATATTCGAACGAAACGAAAATGTGCGTCAGCTTCAGTCGCCTCAACGTTTGACGGAAGGAGTACTTTTCGTGCAAGAGCATTGAGGCACAATACTTGGGCCGGCCACCACTGGTTTTGCAGTGCTGGAACCTTAACGTAAAGTATAGTGCACGTACCAATGACCAGCGGGAACGCGTACAGGGGCAACGACATGACCACACCATCATCGCAGCAAATGGTATGGTGCATAGCAGGGTGTGTTGCATGAAACGCCATGACACGCCCCATCACCCATTGTTCATCCCACTGCAAGAACACACCCACACTTTTCCCGATGAGCTCATACATCTGACGCCGTTCTTCGAGCGAGTTTAGCGGAATTTTGAGACGCTTGACGAAATCAAGATCGGAAACTTTTGCCGACGTTGCGCGCAAGAGACGACCATGGACTTGCATCTCCATCACCATCTGCTTCGAAAACCGCGGTCTCTTTTTTCTGCCTCGCTTGAGGGCTCTAAGGCAAGGCTTGCAAAACCATGGACGAGCAGGGACTGCATTTGCCCTACTGGTGCCGATCGCGTCCAACATCTTAAATTCTCCGAAGCAGATATCACATATTATTATAATTGTAGTTTCGCTGGTGTCGACAATCTTCTCGAAAAGGTACTTGTCGTTCGGGTTTGCAGTAATTAGCGTCAAGTTAGCAAAACTCCATCCACTGCTGATGGGTTTCAATTCGTCTTTTTTCAGACCAACAGAAGACGCCATCAGAGTAATTGGCCTCGGAATGTGCAAGCTTGGACCAGCGTTGTCCTCTACGGACGCATTTCTTGATGCATGATGACCAGTAGGCTGAACCACAACCGAGTTGCCATCGGTCACAGGTGGGCCAGAAAAATATGTCTTGGGTTTCTTAGGGTTGTCGTGGCTAGCATCCACTCCACATACTCCATTACGCTTTCTTCCAGCTGTCACCGGTAATACGATGTTTGACTCGTTACTGACAGTAGCGGTGACTAATGACTGCTCACAAGGTACATGTCTAGCTTGCAAGTTGCGGCAAACTTCACAGAGCACCATATCGCTCGCGTATCCGCTCTTGGGGTGTACGTGATTTACAGCACTGCCGCCTGTACGAGACCTATAATTGCAACCCACACACGCATTTACAACCGCTGATGCTGCCGCAGAGGTATCGCTGCATGCCGGACAAAACCACCCACGTTCAGGCACTTTCAGCAAAGGAGGATGCAAAGTCAGCGAATCAAACTCGTGACCACAGCCGTCACAAAGTAAGTGTGTCTTGGTCACACTTTGCCGGGAGAGAAGCGCAAGCTGTCCTGGTGGCTCAGACTGTTGTTTGTTTGTACGATCACGCATAGTTGTGCTTCGGTTTGCCTCCTGGCGGCCTCTCTTGTCTAGATGATAACCGCTCTTGATAGAAGTGCATGCTGGACAAAACCAGTCACCGCTTGGCACCTCAGATAACGGTGGATTTAGTACCGTCATATCAAACTCGTCGTCACACAAATCGCAAATCAAAAGCGTCATGGGAACAAGTGGCACGGGCGAGTCGTTAGCGGCTTTAGTTAAAGCAGAGTCAGTTGTCTCGGTCACACAGTTTCTGCAGAACCAGTCGCCGTTTTGATTACGTTGAGGTAGTGAGTGCACATTGGCCATATCAAGTTTCCCTTTGCATCCACCGCATATACAGACTGTTGCCAAATTCTCTGGACTAGCTGCACGTACAACTGCACTTCCAGCTGGATATGTATCGCTGCTACATTCAGAACAGAACCAGTCACCCTCAGGAGCCTCCACAATAGGAGGGTTCAATTCCGCCATATCAAATTCCTTATCGCACCCATCACAAATCAGCACCGTCACGAGTGTATTTGCCGCGAACGGTGCGCAATGCACACAGCACCAACCTTCTACTGAGTCTTCGTCCAGTAAAGAGTTCTGTAAAATTTCTCTCACACTTGCGTCACTTTCTTGTGGATCGCAAAAGTCTTGCAGGCAAAAATGCGCCATACATACGCTGCACTTGTTCCACCACTCCACATCTCTATCTGTTTTACTATCTTCTTCATTTACCAGCAGTGCAATCGTGCGGGTCTCAACGGATCCACGAATCAGTTGCGTTGTCTGCTGGTTGCCATGTTTTACCAAACAGGAAGCACACCAATCAAACAAGTTTGTATCCGATGAAGCCCTGCGTCTCTTTCGACTCGATCCACGAAACAACCTTTTCCTCTTTATTTTTGATCCACGTTCACCTCGATAACTCTCCACACAGCGTCGATGCAGCCGAGTACTGTGGCACTTACGACAACTGGTCGTCTCTTTTGTCGCAATATGCACCTGTCGGCACGTCGTGCACACCTCCACTAGAGTAGAGAACACTCTCCAGCTGCTATTATTACTGTTGTACACATCTTCATCCTCACATCTGTCCTTTGCCGCGGCGGTTCCACGTGTAATTATCCCAGTTTTTGCTTTGCCAGCGTGTCGAGACCTCCTGACGTATGGAAAAGCCAGCGCTGGCACCAGAATCGGCAGCGTCTCTTTCACCACGTCAAGTTCACTTTTCCCGGTACATGTGTTTGTCGTAGGATAGCAATTGACGCACGTAAATGGCGCTCCTAGCGCTGTTTCGAAATGGTCTGAGACGCGACCCAACTTCATCAGACATGCTGTGTGGTACATTCCATCGCACACAATGCAGCGAGATACGTCTGTACACTCTGCTATTGTTCCTGTTCTCTTTTCTGGCTGTCCTGTCGAAAGCGCTTTGTTAGAAGCAGCGAAAGACGTGTTTTTAGCATCTGCATGGGGATCACTTTTGCTCATAGTGCGGACGTTCTGCTGATCGCTAGCGGACGATTCCACCGCAGAGACCACGTTCACAAGTTGCTCACATACAAGACAAACGAGCTTCATGCTGCAATGTGGCCGAAACCCGCCTACTGGATGCAGGATGACACGTGCGAGACACCGCTTCCTGTCGTTTCTTTCCACGCTGGGAGCTGAGCGTTCTTTGCGGGCAGAAGGCGCGGATTGGTGGAAACCACGGCGCGAGGTTATGTGGCGCGGGTACATAAACTCGGGTCGAACCGAAAGGGGGTACGAAAACAGGTTACGCTTGGCATAGTACAGCTAATGATGCAATGAACAGCGCAAGAGCGAGCGACACGCGATGCGTTTGGTACTGAAAAGAAAGAACCACGGGAAATCCGTTTCGTCGGTCGTATTTCGCCTGACCGACCTTGATTTTCTGTCCAGGTTTAGTTCATATTCATGGAATTGCGGTAGTATCATATCATGTCAAAAGAGTCGCGAGCTCACTCACTACCCAGTAAAGGTCGGATACGAACAGAAGTTGCACGCAAGTGTTTCGGAACACCCCATGACCGTACAGTTCTTACATCTAAACGTGCATTTAAGAATTTGATACCACTTGAATAAGACTGTTAGCTCCTGCATGATGTAGCCTGGTACACTGCACGTCTAACTCTCGATAGTTTTCGCATCTCGTGTCGCTATAAATCGATAGATACTGCACATTCCACTCTCGCGAACGTCCGATGCTGCGACAGTGGTGAGATCAATTCACTACGGTCGGCGTCAGCATCGAGTTTATGCTGCATTATGGCAATTCACAAAGTGTCAACGGTTGAGTCGGATCTAACACGCGATGAGGCCTCTGTGATAAGCTAAAAAGCCAGGGAAGCCTCTTCCTCACGATGCACGGAAATATCTCGATTAAGTCCATTTTACGCGCATCGATCACATGATCGAGTGTTGTGAGGGTGGAACACGACTCGCAGGTAGCATGTTTTTCACTACAACAGCAACCACAAAAGTGACGACGTCTGATCTTAACGCACGCTACCCCTTGCAAGCTCATTTCTCGAAACTACGCCTTACCGACAACAGTATTGTCTCGCGCAAGGCGTCGGCTTACATGGTGACTGGCCCCCACTCAAGAAGATCGAAGCAGGTTCGATCAACCGCAGATAGCGTGAAACCTTTGTCTCCCAAGCAAAGCTCATTTCGCAGGCTTCCATGCGCCTTTCGTTATGGATGTCCTTGCCTGCATCCCTTTACCTAACTTTTTACTTGCTCAATTCGACAGAGCACATTACGTTCGTGCACTGGAGTAAGTGCTCTGTACACCAAGGGCGCCTGAAGTGGTGTTGGCTAGCATTGGTGATGGACAATAGTACTCAACCACTGCAGGCGCCTGGAAAAACATAGATGAGCTACGATACTATGAAGGAAACAATACACGCGGAGTCTCACCAACTACTGAGGTTTCATTATTAACACAACGAAGCTGCAGTTCGTGTAGTCGGAAGCGTGGATGCAGTACTTGAATGACCATTTCGCAAACGCGCATCTACGTCTACGTTGCGAGTCCGGCAGCTGCGATACCAAGTCGCTCTCCCAACATGAGGCATTACATGCGAAGTGATCCATTTATGTTGTAGAAAAATCGGGACAATAGGGTCATTGATCATCGAGCTGTCATTCTGATTGAATGTAGACCTACAACTCTTTTCTAGGGTTTGTTCTCCTGTAGCATACATGAAAACGATTGACGTTTGCTGCGGTCAGCAATTACGAAGCATCGAATGGATATGGCTATCACTTTTCACATGGATGGATCCGCATGAAGGTGCAGATGTTACCTTCTGAATGTGGTGCTGTGAGGAAAGGAGATCAAGCGTAGACTTGCTCGAGGGTCTATCTGCTTGGAAAGTCAGGTAGCAAGAGCTTGACTTCGCAAACTGTTGTGTCCTGTTACATCGTTAGCCATGTTGCTGCTTGCAACTTACACGACCACTTTCACAGTCGTGATGATTGTCGCCGAACTCAAGAACGAAAAAGCACGACCGGTGACTTGCCCGCAACTAGCGAATTCGAAAAGTGATTCGAACCAGTGTTACTTGGCACTGGATGATGGAGAGGTAGACGAGTGAAGGGGATGGCGGCAGGACCTCGAAACTACTGATTCAGCTTACAAAGGTCATGATTCGTTCTGTCCGGAAGGCAAGAAACAGGAACCTGTAGACGAGGGTCATTTGTACGTGATGCAACACCATGTCTTGCACATGTACGCGACTGCAAATGTTTCGATAAATTCGGATGTGTGCTCTCTGGGATTCAGAAAACCTTTGTGTCGGGTTTGGTGGCAGTGAATAGGCACAGCAACAAATTGAATGGTGTTCGTCGGGCTTCTCCGTGTACTAATTCTACCTGCCAGGCGATCACAATCGCTGCAGATTGTCTACGACATAGGTCGGATCTACGATCTGATAAAGTAGCAAAACACACGAATGCTGACTCGTTTCCAAGTCGAATGCATGGCACAGAGTCGACTATGTGCATCTTTTTGGTGGGAAAATGCTGGAAGCGATACAGAGTAATCGTAGCTGGTCATGAAAGGGATGCAAAAAAGCTAGTCAAAGTCGTGGCTCCCGTGAACGCATTGATGTGCGTCGTCACTTCGTACTTGCAGTTACGTCATCGGGACGCTGTTGCTTGGAGGTGATGTTGGTTTTGTGTATTGCGCGCTGTCGTGGAAAAATGGCTGCGACATTTTCGTGTGGCTATAGCGAGAAGAGCTAGCTGAGGTTTGTTTAGCTGCTGAAGTTAGCACTGTGACGATTGTCACGTTCACCAGCTACGGAAATCGCACTACGCCAGCTCGCACAATGCAAGTAGCCGTGCTGAGCGGTAGAGAAGCACGAATACAAAACCGTCCAGGCGAAAGGTTGACCCCATTCAATTCAATGATATCCGCTCATCGATTGGCCCAAGCGACCTTCTTGACAACAACCAGCTGTCCTGCTGGTAGTCGGACCTACGAGGAGCGGCTTCGTGCATAAGGTCGGATACATGGATGATGTGATCCTGTTCACTCTGCGGGTCACCAGCAAATTCGCTCCCGTACAGGTCTAGGCTGTTGACAAATCGCCAACCAGGTACATCAACCGCATGGATTCAGTGTCCACGGCAATCGGCCAATGTGAGAGTCAAGTGCCGACCAGCCGCCTGCACTCGTCCGACGTCGTCCACCACTGAAGAAAGCATCGTCGAGGACAGTATTCGACAACGTCGTTGGGGACAGACGTTGTCATACTCTCAATCAACGCCTATAGTGCAAGATGAACATGAAGTCGACTCTGGGTACACCAGTACATCCGGCGGAAACACATCGTCTACCACCCGAATAGAAGGTCCCCGTGACGAACGTCGAGCGTAACAAGGCGCGATTTCACTGGAACAGGCATTGCCACGGGAAGCGTGCAATGGGTACGCAAGCTACTGATGCTCTCCAGGAGAGGAGCAACCTTTTGCAAAGTCACGACGTCGAAAGCGGCATCTTTCGCTCTTGTCCATCCAGCATTTTAGCCATTCCGTGCACATGTTCCGCCTCACAGCTTCCTTCCATTTGCGACTTCAAGAATACAAAACTTGACACGTTTACCGACCAACCAGGGCGACCGACCGGCCGTCGCAGCTGGTCCGAGCAGTTTCGCTCGGGGATGGTAAATAACATACCCTTCGAAAGCGATACCGCTGACCCCGTGGTTGTGGTGGTCAACATCCTGTTGGATGCTATGTCACTGTAACATCTAATGTCTATGCGATGCGAGAGGAATCTTTATTTACGCCGCGGAACAGAGAACGAACAAGGCGGGCGTAAGAAACGATACAAAGTCCGAGTGAAGCCTCATTGCTGCATCCTCCAACCCGCCAGTAAGTCTTTTGGGTGCTAGCCAGCGTCTTTTGTCTCGTTCGGGTTCCAACCGCTAACTATGAATGATCGCCTCGTCCTGCTAGGAATTGCTGCCGCAGTGTTGAAGGACATCGACGGTCCGTTCGGCGAGAAGAGGAGACAGAGAGCGACTAGTTTACACCCAAGCGCTGACTCTCCCACCCACTTACCGACGCTCCAAAGGGAGCCATCGAAACGGAGAGCAAGACGAAAAGCGGTTCGAAGCCAAGACGACGCGACGTCAATTCGGGTGGAGCAGGTGAAGGCCCGTGCAACGTCATGCCGAAGCGGAAAGCCAATTGGTGGCCGTCGAGCATCCTCTCGGACCCGGACGTGCTGAGCATGGACGACGAAGGTCGCTTCGTGCTGTGCAAGATCTGCCATGTGCACTACGCCGTGCACGGCGGCAAGAAGCCCAAGCCCGTGATCATGAACTCCAATTTCCGTACACGGGCTTGGGATGTGCACAAGGAGCGGACCAACTCGCATCGGCTCCAGAAGCGACAGCAAGAGCAGGCGCTGGAGCACGACCGGGGGCAGCCGAACGAAGTGCCGACGACACAGGAACAAGCGGTGCAGCTTGAAGCAGATACGAAGGACTCTTCGTACAGTTGTGTGTTGGGGCAAGAGCAGTTAGAGCAGCACGGACAGCAACAGGTACAAGAGCAGCCGACCGTAGCAGTCCAGTTGCAGTCTCATACTCCGACGAGAGTACTCAATGGAGTAGAGACTACGGCTCAGAGTCGAGCTCAGGCACTACCACAGACACAGGTTTTGATCCGGTCACATAGCAGGACACAGATTTCGCCGCAGCGGCGACGGCAACTGGAGCAGCAGCAACCACTGCAACATGTACAGGATAGCGACGAGAGTGAAGACGCTGGTCACGATCGGTTGCAAATAGTTGCTCGAGAATGTGTTACTGAGAAGCCGGCAAGTCCGATGTTGCCGGCTATTGCAGCAGCGGACGCTGCCAGTGCTCACACTGGTAGACTAACGCCTAGCAACAAACGGCTCGCTGCGTCGATGCCCATTGGTGCGTCGATGCCGAGACGTCGTGCGTTCCGAGCGGGAGCATGTGGATTGTCAAGGCAACTCATTGCAGACTTAGCTGTACATCCACATGAGGAGCACTCGTTTATGGTGCCTGGCTCTGTGCCCCGCACGAAGGGGACGCCTGCACATAGTGAACGCACAATTGCAATGGAGCAGCAGGCGGATAGTTCCGCACGATGGCGCCATATGCACGACGACGTGAGCCGTGCGTTGAGTCCGTCGCCCCGAAGGCGGCAGCAGGGACCAGCCTCATATACAAGCGGCGAGTTGCGTGCAGCCAAGACACTGGTTCAGACGGAAACAGGCGACCTCGGCGGCAATAACAGCGAGAGAGTAGCGAAAAAGCTCCGGTCGCTGAATGCCGAGTATCACGCTAGCAACATGCGTTACGCAGACGCTTACAACATGCGCCATAAATTTGACATCTTGGACCGCAGCAGTGCCGGCTACAAGGAGTATTGGGGTACGCTGCGCGATGTGTACACTTCGTCTGGTATAAGTGGCGGTGGTGGTGGTTCTGCTGTGTCGTACCGGAAGTCGTACCACCGCGGCAATCCGTCCGCTAAATCGATCCAAGAATGCACGGAGGCCGAAGCTGAGACCACGACCCCGGAAGACTCTGGATCCAGTGAAGATGCTTTCAAGCCGGCTGTGGTGGTGCACGACACATCGCTCATCAACGCAATTGAGAGGCTGACCGATGCCACATCCAAGCAAATTACTGACTTGCACGAGAAGAGAGCGACGGGCACGAGAGAGGCGCTTACAGGTCTGACCCTAGTGATGACGGACTTGCGCGTGCAGTGCGGTCAAGCGTTCGAGCGTATGATCGAGTTGCAGGAGAAGCATTTGAAAGTGATGGGGAGTATATTGGACGTCAAGTTGCGCAAGGAGGCAGCACGGAATGCAAGACACAGCTGCAACAAGAACGAGCACAGTAGTGGGAGCAGCACAGGGACTGGTTCCGAAAGCATAGAGCTCACGTGAATGGGTCGAAAGCACGTGCCAATTCCGATCTAACAGACATAAACTACTAAGTAAGTAAGCAAACGACTTCCGAGTACCCACCCCTATCAATCGTTGCACGTGCAGTCGACCTACACGAAGCTCGAATGATGATAAATGAGTCACGGTAAGCCTGCGCTCTACGAAGCGGCGCTTCAACAAGTTTTTGCATCAGCGAACCACTGCTGACAGCAGGTAGCGGTGCCAGCACACAACACGAAGAGGATACAACCAGCGTCCACGGCTTCTGTCTCCAAACCTGTAGATCAATCGCCACGAACCACACCGACGAAATACTCTAGAAAGTCGTACTTCCCCACCTAGCGATGACGTCGATGGCTGTGACCTTGCTTTCGCAAGTCGAGACTATGGCTCCGAGATCGTCGTCCGCGGCGACTCCGTCGATCACGATGACATCGACGATCTGAACTCCTCGATCGATCTCTATCTCTCCGTCGCTCCCGGCCATCTACATGACCGCGTTCTGACCTCCTTCGATCTCGTTGTCGGTGCGGGCGTTCCTCTCGCTCCAGTCGCTCCGCTGACATCCGTGGCTTCCCAACCTCATGCTTCCTCTCGGCTTTCATTGTCTCCATCACCTCCTTCAATTTGCTTCGAATCTGGACGTAGCCCACGTGCACTTTGCCTCCAAAGTGGTCTGCAAGTCTCCGTTCACTGTCAAAAATGCTCAGAAACGCGCCACACACGTCACAGACTCGCAGCTTCTGATTGACATTGTCCACCGACGTTGCAATGCCGCACGCAGCAGCACTCGTGCTCTGCCGCAGCAGCTCCCTCCTCTTTTTCTTGAGCAGCTCCACTTGCTCCATCAGCTGCAGCGACTTGTCCACAAGCCCGTCCCTCGTCGCTTGTTCAGCCTGCACTGCTACGTCCTGCATCTCCTGTGTGAGCTGCAGGACCTGTGCCTTGTCCTGACTCTCATCCCCGTCTTCGTCCAGCCGCTTCTGCGCCCGCGCGATCTTCTTCTCAACATCCACCAGCAGCTTCGAGAGCTCCTTGGCCAGCTCCCGTTCGTAGCCAAAGCTGTCGTAAGTGTACCCATTTCTATTCTCGTCCTTTTCCTGTTTCTGGTGCAATAGAAATGCCGAGCGTAGAGCCGGGACATGCAGCAAGTCGCAGGCGCCAGCATCGAGACGCGTGTGCTGGAACAACTCACGTGGACACAGGCCACATAGGTACGATTTGCACACTCGCGGATGGCGGAAGTCTAGCGCCTCTTCGTCCGGGCGGTCGCCGTCGCGGTTGAAGCCCATGAGACTGTCGAGCAGCGCACGCTGGGCGTCCATTGGGTGCTGAGCGATAGAAAGTCGTCGGTCGAGATAGAAACCCGTCAAAATCGGTACGTTGCTTGTCAGGTCTGAGAGTTGAAGCGTGGGACGAGGACCCGCTACCGACGTTGAGGACACCACATGCGTCCGTTTATGAACGCGCAAAGTGGTTTTTATTCGGTGATCTTGTGGGTTTTTCTCCGCAGCTGTTTGTGTGCGAATGCGTGGATAATATCCACTCATGGATTTTATGACTGGAGCGCATCCATGTCGCATTTTTCCGACTCTATCGTGGTCGCCACTGCTGACTCGTGTTTCGTTGCGTCCCGTCTATTTTCCGCTCAAATTCGAGGGCAAGACGTCCATGGTCAGTCACAACTGCACCAATGTCTACTATATCTGCTGGACTTTTCGAGATGAGTGGGACCTGCCACACCGACCACTGGTGGAAAAGTGTGGACGGAAAGGAGATGCACAGAAGACGTGAGCGTGGGGCTCACCCCCTCCAATGGATATTTGCTGGGAGCACTTCTCTCGAGACCCTAGCACAGCTGGGCGTCTGAGGATGTCAGGAATTTGTCATTGCAAGTGGATCAAGAACACGCTTCAATGTAGATGCGACCGGCATATGGCTGTCCAGTGATGTTGAGTGTGACATTCGTCCTTCCTTGTAAAGGCAGTTCGACACTGCATCTTGGTGCAACTACTGTCCATTGCCTCTTCTGTTCACGTGAGTGTCGACAACAAGCACGTCCCACGTGCGAAGGGGCGTAACGGGTCTTTGCCCGGTTCGACAATACCCTTGCGGATATACAACTGCAATGCCATCCACCTATCAGCCAGATCTACTTTCCATGTCATCGATATGAGTGACGTATATGCGCAGACGATCGATTCGTCGCTGCGCTTAGCGGTCACACTCACAACCTCATCATCAATTCGTACCAACACGACACCAGCTTCTCACTTGCGTGCACAGCAGCTTCTTCAAGCAATAAATCCCGCATAATCGAGCTCAGCTTCCTCTTCGTACGCCCTTGCTCCTTGATATCCGGCGACACATACTGAAGGGTTTCAGTACTGATCTGTTACAGCTCGTAACGATTTATTTGCGTCACGAAGGACTCAAGTTTGTATGCGATCGTCTCCACCGTCAAGTGCGCTGAACGCTGCCGTCCAGTTAGTGCTAGCTCCACAGGGCATAAAGAGCACGTCCTATCGGAGTCACTTCGAATGGTTGCCGACTTTTTCGTTGGATACCCGCCGCAAGCCGCTTCCACTTCAATTGGTATCGAACATGATGGCTTCGGCCTCCGTGCATACGCATGGATGTCGTATGAATGCGTCCGTAAATGTGGATGGACTCGGCCGATCTACAAAGTGTAGCTAGTGCTCGATTGCAAATCCAAGAAAGCCACGACCGCCGGAAACTCAAACCACTGGAATACAAGAGCAGGCAACCCACTGGATGTGAGATGATAGCAGCGTGTCGATTCATCGAGCCAGCATTCACTCAAAACACTCGTTTAGCAGTGAAGGGTTGCAGTGCCAAAGCATCCTGAAAGTCCGATGATCCAGTTTGTCGAAGGCATTTGCAAACACCGCGATCGAGTAGCTATCCCTCGAACGCAGCACCATCTAGTAGCTATTCCTCGAATACAGCACCATCCAGTACAACAATTGTCCCCTCCGCCGAAATCAACGACATGTTTCCACATCGAGAAGCTTCGACTGTGCGAGCTTAACCTGTAGCAGATATACAACGCGCTGTACCTCGCGGTCGTCGGTTCACTACAAACTTCTATCACACATGACACTAAAGCCATGGCGCAGCGTAGCTTTAGTCACCGTTAAGTGCACAACCAGCGTCTCAGCCCGGTAGCTCTTCTACTCCTAGCCCGTCTGAGGCTCGTATTCGACCCTTCAGTTGTCTTTACCATCCATACTGAGCCACTCGCTTCCGCTCCCGCCCACTCTCGGTCGTCGTTACCAGTTGACGCAAAAACTAGTCATCCTGCCAGTCACGCACTCGAAGAAGTTTCATGACACATGTGCATTTCTCCTTGCCAGACGAAAGCCTGCTTCACTGCTTTCACAGCGATGTGTGTCGAGAGAGACTGCACAATGCGCCACCCTATTACAGCAATGATCCACCGCAACACGATCACTCCGTGTGGACGATCGTAGTTCAGCCCATGCACATGTACTTGTGCAGAGTCGCACTAACGTATCGACAATACAGTCGTTACTGCGAAAGGCCGTGTGACCGCCAGTGGATCGACACGAATCCAATGCCTTCGCTTTTGTCAGTCCGGAACTCTCACCCGTCCGTTCTAACGATCTGCTGGCGCCTCGATTCCAGACCTACGAAGCATCTAAGCACCAAACAGCAGTGCATACACTCGTCAGGATACATTGGTGGACCGCCAGTCCATTCAAACTAAACAGCGCATAACCTGGGTGGCTTCCAATTTACCGCACAGCGCAGAGCGTGCGCTAGAAATGTGTTGTATGTGCTGCCTACTCGTCCGAGCAGTGACATCCATACACCAGTGTGTCATGCTGCTTGTCTGCCGTCTCGCGTGGACATTGGTGATCAAGCTGATGTTCGTCACTGCGTACAGGAATCGATGAGCTGCTGTCGTTCCGACGTCACTGCGGTCGGTTCGACCATCCGACAGTGCAGGGGAGTCAACCAGTCGAGCTAATTGCATCATCGCTTGTCCCTGCACGACTTGATAGCTCCATTGCTATGATGTCTTGGACGGTGGTCGAATACACGCCAATAGAATTGCGTCCGATTGCGTGCTTACCTACTATGCAGAGAGTATACGCGATATCTGTGCAGCTTGCAGCCCTCCAGTAGCTTGTTACAGGTTTGTAGGTACATCCGGGTTTCGCATCCCTTCATCTGCAGCGCATCGCTGTCAATGGCACCAACCAACATCAAGCCACGTTTCATTCCGGCGTATACATGAGAGCATCGCATCCCGGTGAGCTGCTGTCTCCATCACTGCTACAGCCACTCACCACGATGCGCTACCTGCAAAGCACAAACCTGGAAACGACACTCACTTGATCCCACCGATGGTATGAGTTACGATCGAGACTCCCGTCGGCGCATCAGCCGCCTGTACAAGTGAGGCAGTGCCACGCCGACCTTGTCTAGATGTAAACTCCACCACCAAAAAGCTCGGGTACAAGTCCGGTGTAGTCTTTCACCTCGGAACCACATCGAAACAAACGCAACCGGACCATTTGGCCTGCCATCCGACTCACGGTTGCGTCCTAGAGTCAGCACGTCCGAGTTCAGTGCTGACTCATTCGCAACAAAATGTAACGAGAAGATGTTTCAGTTACTTTCGCCCGTCGTTCCTCCAATGTCCCCATCTCGTTCAGATACTCCAGTCTGAAGCTATGCTTGCTAGCTCCATCGTTCACTCGAACCGCAGACTTGTCCGCGCAAGCTTTTGCATCGACTCTAAAAGTGCCGTGAAGCTGCTTCTCTCAGTGTCTAGAGGTGCTGCCTCTCTGTCGCCACGGTTGATTCGTGATCGCCGACCGACGTTCGAACACGGGTCGTCTCGGACCGACTGTTCCATGGCCACAGTCCCCACTTGTTGCGCAGATTTTGCCCTTGTGTGAGACGATTTAAGGTCGTGGAGGAGAGACTGGAGAAGAGCATCGAGATACCGACGCTTTTGCTGCGACCAGTGAACACAATCAACACCGGCGTAGACACGGACGGACTTGCGCACGAGCTCCGCAACCGCTCACGGTGATGTCGATATCCAGTCAACCACGTTCTCTAGAGTTTGGAAATCTACGAATGGAGTGACATCCAGCGGTCGGAATACAGCAGCGACACCTGCATGCGATCATTTCGACAAAACCTGAATGGTACTATCCAAGCCATTTGACAGTTGCTGCTGCTTGCGCAAGATTGAAAGAGCAGACAGCGAGCACGCTTGATAAACACCGCGAGGTCTCACTCATTGACCTGCTTCGAGGGACAACGTATCAGATCCAACCATCAGTTGATGCGCTGAACAGTCCTGTGTCTGTCATCAGCCGTGCTCATGATTTTTTTCGAGCTATCGTGATCATACCAGGCCACAGTTGTCTTCCACACAACTACACATACACGCACACACGGGCAGATGTCAACGTGGCATCCATTCAGCGCCAATCTAATGGATTGTAGACTCTCGCTTTGTCAGGAGGTGGTCGCAGCTATTCCGAGCCGAGATCATCGCCATCTGGTTCCTTGTGTTTCGCGCGAATTCCATCGTCCTGGTTCTATCCATTGATACACGCTGTTGTTCTGTCTCGAGCACACTTCGGCAGCAACACGAGGATTTGTAGCGTCCCAATGGCAGGCAGCTGTGTTCCAGTGAGCGAACACCCACACTGTCACATTGTATGCGCGTGTCCATTTTGGGAATCTCTCGACAGTTCTGGCTGGCCGGCACTGTCTCGTTTCGCCCTTGTCCTCCCTCAGTCGAAAAGACGCAACAGAGCAGCAAAGGAACAGCCGGCTGGCTGGATATCACCCTCCAAGCACTTTACTAAAATGCAGCGGGGGGACGATGGGGCTAGCACTTACACGCGAGGTGAGTTCGCTAGTTGAGACCGTCTTTACGACACGAAAAGACACCGCAAGTGGGACGCACTTGTCCGTCGTAATGGCAATAGCGTAGAAGCTGTACCATAGTAATCTTCTATCTGCTACCAAAGCTCTGACGCCAACGTGCGCTGTGATTATAATAGACGAGCAGTGTAGCTCTTCGGATGATGCGCAGCAGGGAGATGCTCTTCACACCGATCGGGTGCGCGTCTAAGTCCGATGATCCTCCTTAGCTGATGTCCAAACCTTAACGAACGTTGGTGCTAAACGGACGTTCTAGTCCACTTCCGAACTGTCCAGGAAGCAACACCGTGAAAACGAGCAAGTCACCGGAGCAACTAATGCGCCGTTCAGGAGGAGCGACGGAAGGGACTGGAGTGCTCGAATTTGTGCGTCAATTGCCCGCTTGATGGAGATTGATGGCATCAGTATGGACTCAAAGGGAAGTACGAATCGAGAAGAGAAGACAAAAGCGAAGGCTGCAGAACAAGCCTTTAATGAACGGGTTGACCGATTGGAGGCAGCGACTACGGCTGCCCATAAGAAGCACTGGGACAGGTTACAGGACATGTACTCGGCCTCCACCGCAAAGAAAATGAGGTTGACGTCGGCAAAACCATCGCGTACGACCATGGCAGTGCAGACTCGATACGATAACGAAGCACTAGCCGCATTGGCCATGGCCGCTGCTCCTCAGACACAACTCGCGAAGGAACAAGACACTTGTTCAGAAGATGCCACGACGAAGATGCGACAATTCGAGCGACTCGAACATTTACTGGACAATTCCATGGCTCTGGGCGATGTTCCAGGTAAGCACATGTTTCGGCAATGGGGGATAGTGCTCTTATGGACGATCACTCACCTGCTGCGCAATGCGCTGCTCGCAGGTGATACAGCAGGTAAGTTCTACACTATGTGCAATAGTGCATCAATGCTGAGCTAACGGGAAGTTGCTGTCACAACAAACGATGCTTTGGTCATGGGCGATCACAATGAAGCAGGTAAGCACCATGTTTGGAGTCGTGTGGTGATTCATAGTCAAACGATTGAGCGGTTTGTATAGGCAGCAGACGTAAACCAGTGCAAGTGCACGACCCGGGTCTGACCCAGGCAGTCGGCAAACTCACGGACAAGTTGATGCAGCTCCTCGTTCAGCATCAACTCGCGTCCGATGCGGCAGCTGCTGAGCCTATACTCGCTGCTGCAGCAGCTATCGCTTTGGAGGCGACTGAGATGCAGCGCCGTGAGAAAGTGGCGTTGGAACGCATGACGGAGATTGAAGAACATCGCCTGGAGATTATGCAGGGACTTGTGGAATACGAGAAACGCAAGGAAAAGCGAGAAAAACGACGAGGTCGAAAGCGTAGGGCGTCGGACTAGTTGCTGCGTGACATAGTAGCAAAGAAGTTGCCGATGAAAGACGATTGTACGGCTGCTTCACCGAGGCTGTAGGTACATGTTTCGTGAATACATTGTGTGTCGTGGTCGGACACGACACTGCCAAAATATGTACGACAAATTGAGACTGTTGTCCGAGCAGAAAAATGCACACACACACATACTCTATAGGTCAGAAGCTACATCGCTCGGAGCTAAAGCACACATCAAAAGACCCTTTTGGCAGCGGCAAGCTAGATTGATGTGTCGTACACAAATCCTCCACAAAAGATGGACACGGAGGCCGCCACGACTGGAGCGATCGACGTGACGAGCCACCGCGCGTCGCAGGGCACGGAAGACGAGGCAGGGAGCAAGTCACTACAGGAGCGACGGACGGACAATACGGTGGTGGACGTTGATGAGCCGCAGGAGAGCGCAGTGGACGAGGATGAGGAGGAGGAGGTTGACGAAGAAGACGAAGAGGATGAAGACGACGAGGCGGACAGCGACGGACTGTCGGACAATGCGTCGCTGTTGCGCATGATGCAGAGTCTACCGGAGAACGAGGCGCGACGCCACGAGCAGTTCCGGCGCTCACACTTTGAGCGCGGAGTTATGAAACGAGTACGTGCAGCAGGGGAGGAAGGAAGGAAGGAAGACTGAGCTCTTCAGCAGCTAATTCGGTGTCTGTGTTGTTGTTATCCAGTGCATGGCTCAAGCAATCCAAGAGTGCTCAGCGACGGACAAGAGAGCGCCTACTGTGACCAACGTTATGGCTATTGTAGTAGCGGGCATGACCAAGGTGTTCGTGGGTGAGATCACGGCAGAAGGTGAGTGGAAGGAAAAGGAACAAGGGGTGATGCGTGTCGAGGGCTGTAGCGCGTTGACGTCGTGTGCTGTGCTTCTTGCTGACAGCACGGAGAATTATGGAACAGAACGGCGAGACGGGACCCATACGTCCACATCATCTTCGTGAAGCGCATCGCAAGTACTACAAGCGTCGACCATTGATGCGGGGCCGCAATGTTCGACGTCTGCTTCGGTAGACGCGCAGAGTCGTTGTTGGTGCAACACTTGCTGATTCAAGCGAGGCATCGTGGGTTACAGGTCTATTTGGTCGTCATAAGAATCTATCGTGGTCGTTTTTCTTCATTCAAAAGACGATCGTCTTCCCGTGGAGATACAGCTGTGTCATCATCTTGGTCATCGTCGTGGTGACGCAATGATGCTAACGGTGGCACCTCGATGGCGCCGTCGTTACTACCAAAGTGGTCTCTTGAAGCTGCAGCAGCAGTCGTGGACACGGACGACGAAGCCGATAAACGCTGCGGAGACTTCTCAGGGTAGCAATACACCTCCTCCTCAGCAAACGTGGACAACAGCCACTGGTCCTTTAAAATTTGACTAATTTCTGGGAAAGATGGACGCACAGTAGCGTTCTGATGCCAGCACGACCGCATGAGACGTGCCAATGCGGGTGGACAGTTGATCGGAATCACGGGCCGAAGACCATTTACAACTGCCGTCATCTGCGTTCACACAAGAAAAACACAATAGCACCGTGAGGATTATAAGGACGTCAGCCAGTTGAATGAAATCCGACGTACCAGTTGGAAAGGATTCATGCCTTGGTCACCGTAGGGCTTACTCCGCGACCAGGTAGAGTATAGCAAGATACCAAACGAATATACGTCACCCTTCGTAGAGCACTGGATACCGCCCATTGTAGCCATCTCGGGCGCCATGTAACTCGGCGTACCAACTTCTGCGGTCATGGTTGTCGCATCGGGTTCGATCAACCGCGAAAGTCCGAAGTCACAAATGTTGACATCGTCAGTCTCCGAGATAAGCACGTTCGCAGGCTTTAGGTCTCGATGAACCACGTTGCGACTGTGCAAGAAGCCCATACCGCTTACAATTTGGCTAATCACCTTCAAGAAGACAGATTCCTTCAGAGGACCTTTGGTTGCTGGGTTTTCAATGAGTACACTCAGTGACTTGGGACAAAAATCTGTCACGATATACAACACGCGGTTGTAGTAGCTCACGCCGTAGAAGCGCACCACGTTGGGATGGTGTAACCGACTCAAAATACTCACCTCGCGTCGAAAGAAGCTCTGGAAATACTCCTGACCGGTCACGGGACTATACAGTCGTTTGACGGCCACCACCGAGCTGCCGCCACCACTGTGTAGCAAGCTTCGGAACACTTGGCCAGATGTACCATTGCCCACCTCACACTGCAAAGACAGCGAATCGAATCGAATGAGCCAGTCGCGGCTGTCGTTGGAGACAAAGTATTCCAGGTCCGCCATGTCCGAAATCTCAACGTACTCAGACTGCGAGAAACTATTGCCACGGTTCAGGAATGGCCCCTGCAAGGCATGTGGCTGGCGGGCAAGGCGACGCATGGTGCACATGCAGAAGCCTAATGTTGAGAGTGCGATGGTACCCAGAATGGCGACCATCGCGAAGGGAAAATCATACGACTCGCAGCTCTCGCCGCCGTAGCGAGCGTCACAGTAACATACGGCTTGCGTTCCTGACATGACACATTGACCGTGACCATTGCAAGCCACCTCGTTTTCCAAAAATCCTGGGCACAGCTGGCAAGTCGGTCCAATGTAGCCGTCAGCGCAAGTGGTACAGGGAAGTTTGCCAGCAAGTTCCCAGCCCTCGTGGCAGACACACTCCCCAGTCCCATTTAGTCCACTTCGGCAAGTACCATGGCCACAGTCACGCGGACACGGTCGACAGTCCTCGCCGAAAAACCCTTCCTCGCAATCGTAGCAGTTGGTAAGCGGGTCCCAGCCACGGTGGCAGTTACACTTGCCCGTGCCGTGCAGTCCATCATCACAACGCCCTTCACCACACTTGCGACAGAGAGTGCATGTTTCGCCATAGTAACCGCTCATACAGCCCACGCAGTTGTTTGAGTCGGACCATCCGACACCACAAATGCATCGTCCGTCGCCGTCAGCGCCAGAGTTGCAGTGTCCATGCGGGGCGCATATCGGGCACGATCGACAGTGCGCTCCAAAGTGTTGCGGTGCGCACTGGCACGACATGGTCATCGGATTGAAATCCCAGCCATCGTCACATAGCGAACATCGGCTTTCAGGAGTGTACCCTTCGTCACAAATGCATCCACCATCACCAGAAGTAGTATCATTACAGCGACCGTGATTATTGCATGTGCGGCATGGAGTGCAGGATGGTCCGTAAAAATCCTTTTCACACTCGAGGCACCGTGACTCAGCCGAGAAGCCTTCGGAACACTTACATTCGCCATCACCAAGAAGACCGTAATTGCACTTGCCGCCGTCACAGGGTTTACAAGGCTGGCATGTCGGGCCAAAAAAGGAGTCCATGCACTGCATGCAATTCATGTCAGCATCAAAGCCAACGGCACACGAGCAGCGACCACTGCCTGTTGAGCCATCATCACAATTTCCGTATGGAAAGTTGCAACCCGGACAACGCTTGCATTTATTTCCAAAATATCCAGGCAAGCACGTCGCACACCTGGTGTTCGGGTCAAAACCCTCAGGACAGATACACTTTCCCGACCCTCGCAAGCCTGAATCGCAGTAGCCGTCGTTGAGGCACGGCTCACAGATTCTCTTGCAATCGTTGCCGAAAAATCCGCTGGCGCAGTCGCGGCAATCCGGAGCAGCATACCCGATTCTGCAAGGAAGCAACAGAGATACGACGACAACAATATCAGTCCCACCACCTTATCCACTTTGCACATGTCGTATACAGACTTCGCACATGCATGAACAGGTACGTGGACTAATGTCGTTTGCCGCACAGCCGCACTCGCCATTACCAAAGCAAGCTGTACGCGAAGCGTCATCCCATCCCGGACAAGCTGCCCACGAATGCATCAACACGAGTCAGTTTCTTGCCAATGAGAGGCTGCCCAAAATGTCGCACCTGTGTTATCCTGCGCTTCGAGATAAATGTTAATCTCCGCGTAGCCTGTGACAGAGACGCCAGCCATGGAACATACGGGGAACTTGTCGTGTGGACCGGTCCAGCTGAAGTGAATATAAATGGGCAACGTGTTGCTGGTGATCTCAGAAATGATGGACTTGCGTCCTTCTGGGCCAATGACTCCATTTCCCAGGGGCGGGAAAAGGTTAAACATGTCATCGCAGTGGGGGTAGTTGCCAACCAAGTACGCATGCGATGGATAGACCGGAGCTGGGAGCATCTCGACGCCATTGACAAGGAGGCTGTCGACCGACCCGCGACCGCCAGCAGACGACTCCCAATCAATCTGCCTTACTGCTACCGATAAGTCCGCCTACAGTCCACAGGATCAAGCAAAAAGACGTAATCCGGCACATACCAACACAACACAATCGTTAGCAAAGAGCCGTTCCATCATGTCCGCACGAAGCACCACTTTTGTCCACAAGATCCCGATTTCGTCGTGTTCCACGTTCTCGTCAGCTTGCATACCTTGCACACAGTCTGTTGTGTGAGCTTCAGTCCTGGAAAATAGACGGGATCCATTGGCAGAAACACGCACGAGTTGCCTTGCCACTCGAGACACCGAGCAATGACTTGTGTCTGTTGCACGAGCGCCAGCGAAGAGGCGATTATCGTTGCCGTTATCATCATCATCATCATCATCTTATCCTTGGGACTGGTCTGGACCAGGAGCGAGGTACTGTACCACCGTGTCCTGGCCAGTGTCTCCAACCGTCCTGCTCTGGCATTTGTTGCATTAATCCACTTCCAATAAACGCGATTGCAGTACCACACGAGGGTCTTCCCTTTCCGGCTGTGGATCCAACAGTCTCCGTGAACGTCAGCAGCCGCCGTGTCGCCCTGTAGCTGTAGACGTTCGCAAGAGGTTAGGCCAATTATGTCAATTGGTTGAGGAGGCAAGGCTGCCTGCCCCGTGGAGAGAAGACGCTTGGCTTGCAGCGGAGCTACTAGGTGCTACTGTCGCTGGATGTTGTTTAGGGTCGGAATTGCTGGCGCTTTGATGTGATCACTGCTCTGATGTGAAGGAAGAGAGGAGGCGTCTGTAAAGTGGTAAAAAGTCGGTCGAGGACTTCCCTCCTTATAGCGATGATTTGCACGAGTTTGACTCGTACATTTGGACACAGTTCTCGATCTGCCAGACTCTCAAAGCTGTTATGCAGCGCGCGGATCTTTGCGCTCGCTTTTTTACGAGACTTTTTACACCACCCTGTGAAGTTTCGTCTGCCCGACGATAAACAGCACATAGCACGTTGTGATGCGCCTCGTGGTTCGTCAACTTCAACCACGACGTGCGGCAACACTTTTGACTTCCACGTTGCGAGCAGCCGACCCCATTTCCCGTGTTCGTGGTAGTCAGAGGTAGACGACGACCTCTCGCTTTAGCTCGCAGTGATAGTAGACTCCAGTAGTAGCTCCACAGCCAGTCCCAAGTTCAGTCGTGACGCGACGACGTTGCAAACAGCCACAGTACGAAGTTGTGTCGAGATTGAAGGTAGTTGAAGCGCATGCGTTTCGCCAGTCGAGCAGCTACAGTAGTCAGGCGTGGGTCAGACCGTTGGACAAAATGCCCGCCGCGTCGTCAAGCCGTCAAGGGAAAAACGGGGACGAGGTGAGGGGGAGGACAGTGTAAGACCCGCACAATAGGTCGACGACGTTGACAGCGACGGGGATGTATGTGCCAATTGCTTGCAGTTCAAAAAACAAGCTGCCCAGTCATCGAAACGCTATTGTCTCGCTGAGCTTCCTCTGACCCTCTAACACCCGATACTGCAACACATTACCCATCGTCGTAGAAGTACGACACACAACCTCAATGTGCCGGTTTAAACTTGTTGTAAAAGGACTGTACCCAACCTCAAGGTGCCCATTCTTTCTTCAAGGCTTTGCCGAAAGTAGGACAGAGCACATGAAGCTGTAGAAGCAGCATCAGCTGCAGTAATACTAGCACGAGCTGGAACAGTTATGATACTCTAGCAGCAATGTCCTCGCAGTCGTGTTGCGATCATTACACGTACGCTCACTGCTGCTTTGTAAGGCGTCTAATTCTTCTTTTGCAGGAACCGTCGTCATAGGCGTTGTCATGCCAAATCGAGCAACCTATCGAAGCACTCGTCCGAGATCTCTCGAATGCGCTTGTTCCAATGAGAGATGGCATTCGCGTGCAAGGCCGACGCAATCTTCTCCCGCAGCACCTGGTCACGCGAGAGATACAGACTCATGAGCTGGAAGTTCCCGCACAAGTTGCACGCTTCCTGTGCCACCAAAAAGTGCGTCGACTGGATGCAGGCCTCGATGCACGTGAAGACTCGACGCACGACTGCTGCAGAGAGGTTGAGGCCGAGCTGCATGAACTGCAGCAGCAGACCGCCAGTGAATCGCACAAAGAACAACTGCAGGTGGACGTTGTGCCGGGGCCACTTCATTGACATCCAGCGAATGAACTCTTCGCCGTGCATCGGAGAGAATGCGGCGACTCGATTCATTAACTCTCCCATAGCGCGGTACGTCGTTGCTTCCGCTGAGTCACTGGATACCAGATACACCTCGAGTCGGTTGCGGTTGGAATCAGCGTTGTCATTGCCCCCATGTGAGCTTCTAACAAGGAGTTGGAGCGCACGCATGATCTGGCTGCAAAACCCTTCGATGTTGTCGCGAATTTGGTCGTTATTGCTGCCAAACACCTCCACGTTATAACGTGCGTCCCGTTCGACGACATCCAATGCTGCTTTCAAAAACGCAAGAATGCCCTTGGCAGTGACAAGATCCTTACCAGACGAGCAGGCGTGGGCACTCTCGAGTAAACTTTGGTGCTGGAAGATTGCAAGGGACGTCGACACTGCTGCAGCAAGCACGCACGACCGCAACGCTGGCATCGAGCAAAAGATCGCACTCATCACTGCGAATCGGTCGTACTGGGCAAGGACGCTGAGCTTCACTGTTGCCAGCATTTCGTGTGCGATCCAGTGTGGTGTAAAGTACCTCTCCTGTAACCTCTTGGCAGCTGTGCCGCATGGTGGCAGTTCCTGCATTGTCCCGTTCGAGCTACAGAGCATGCTCGTCAGTGCAGCTTGAAACTTTAGCAGGTCAATGTCCAGCACTCCACCCTTGACTTTGCCCACCACTTGGACATCGACCATATCGTCGTCGTCGTCAAAGTGGAAAACATCCTCGTGTTGCGCACCGCCAAGCAGCAGTCGATTCAGTTCCTGCGTCACTTCCACATCAGGGAACAATCCAAACAGGAGCTCCAGCACCACTTCGTCGATACTGAGTTCAGCCACCGCCGTTGTCCGCACACTCTCGTGCTTCCGTCGTCCGCCTCGACGCTTGAACTTGCGCTTCGACGTCCCGTCGCTACTCACCTCGGGCGACGACGTCTGCCCACCAAACTCGTCATGGCTCAACATCCGTCCCGATTCGTTAAAGATACGAGCGCTCTCGAATAGCGTCATATGACGCGCTCCGCGTCGATAATCGTCCGAGTCCCCTGCAAACGACGCAGTCGACGGCGCCGATGATGCGAGCGAGACGGTGGTCAGGCTTTCCATGGCTTCAGAAGGTTCATCAGTAGCTGCTAGGAGTGCTGGGGGCCACGACGTTGCAGATGGACCTGAGCGACTCAGCTGCAAGCTGCGCGTCGAGCGGAGCTGCTCGGTAATCGAACGACACGCGCTCTTGGTGGGCACAGGCAGCCACGCAGCCTTTTCAAGACGCATGACATTGACGCGGTGGTGCTCGTGGTGCTTGAACCGCGGTTCGGCGCGGCTTTCAGCCGTGCGGCGGCCGACGTCGCGCTGATGGTGTTTGAGCTTGCGCTGCAGTTTCCAGTCGCACGATTCTTCGAGGAGGACGTGCGATGGCGGCTGCACGATCGTGGTGCCGGTGGTAGGAGACATGGCAGAGCGGGGAGGACGTGGGCGAGCTGCAAAGCGTCGGGTGTAGCCACGTTGAGAGGAAATGGCAAAGTGAATGACAACGTCAGCAGCGATGTAACGGACGGACGGATCGACGGATCGACTGTATGTGGAATGGAGTCGGCCGACTCACTTGCTGTTTGTATGTGCGGGCGTGATGACGCGCCCTGCTCTGAAACGTCCGTCTGTTGGTCTGGCTGTTTGTCGTCTGAGTGAAAAGGACTGCAGTCGTGACGCACTTCCGATTTTCGCGGTTGCGAATCTTTAGATTCCTTTAAAACACGTGGTTTGAAGCAGCTGAGCGAAGAAAAGATATAAAGCTACCCGACGTCGCGATTGTTCGCGAGAGGAACGACCTTTCCATTGCTAGCGCTTATTGCAATGCCGGCCGACCAGGACGTTCGCGTTTTTCTAACACAACACACACATTCCCTTGATGGCATCAGCTCCTGCGACGCTGCTGATATCAGGGCACAGCGAAGACGAAGGACGTCAGACATTAACATTTGGCGGTCAGCGAGCTTGCGCTGGGTACTACACGACCATAGCGGCTATGACACTTCTTCCCCTCTGCGCCTCGCTCTCGGACACTGCTGTCTAACATGGAGTTGGAAAGTGACTTGGGCTATAGCTGACATGAGCGCTCTATTCACCCCTGCATTTGGCCATAGTCAGCACAGTCAGATGACATCGCTCGCCGAGCCGCCTACTAAAGATCGGACACGACAAAGCGATGACACTACGCCATGTATCATCTCCTTTTGTGTATCCATGAAAGACCGCCTTGATCTACGGGGTTGTCCGCACAGCTCGCATACATTCTGGATCCCCGTTACAGAAACAGGTCCTGTACTTCGCTGATGGGTTCATGACGCCTCAAAAGTAGGTACCTTTTCTACTCGACCACCGCAATGAGTCTCACGGATACTGTTTTGCGTGACTTGCTTTTTTTTCTTCTCACACTATTTACAATGTGGAGCCCTCATAGAGTCAGGTATATTGTGAAAAGTGCTTAATTTGCCTAATCTAAAACCCAGCAAGCCCCTAATGTAAACACTCAAAATTTTGGAGCGCGCATCTTTTTAATCGTTCATTATTTAAAGCCGCTAGGCAAAAGCAAAATAAAGGAGGGGGAAAGGGACTTGGCAACAGAGAAGGGGAGTCAAGAACTACAAACCGTAAATCAACTGACAACTTCTGTAACGGGGTAGCCCGTTACATGAAATTGACACCAAACGGTGTCAATAGGAATATTGTCTAGCATGGCAATATTTTACCAATATTATCCAAGATGGATAATATTGAAGGAATACTATCCCCTTTAGATAATATTCATGCGCCGCTCCAAGATTGGTTGATATAAGACATACCAACCATAGATTGCCATCAATCGCTGCTAGACGCGCGCAATGAGTGGTGAGCAGGTGGTCGTCATAAGACGACATAGTTTAACATCATTAGATAAAGATTAAAGTTATATTGATAGCTTAACTATATCAAAAACAGTTCTCTTTTTACCCTTACTTGACCGAGTCGCTTAAGTAGATTAGCTTCCTCTGCACGTACTAGTGTACGTGAAGTTTCGCGGCACCCCAAACAAAGGGTGCCCCGTTGCAACCTCGATATACTGTGGCACTGTAACTTTGCGGTAGTAACTGCACTCGACGAACCCCCTCGCATTTGTTTGTTTATCCAGTGCACCAGAACCCTACTGCAACTCGCCCTTAACCCCTCGTTTTTGTTTATTCTTTACACAGAGCACCAAGAACCCGCTGCGACTCGCTTACACACACCCTAATCGTTTGTTTATTCTTTTGTAGGGCGCCGACAATCCCCTTCCTTAACCCCACCTTTCCTTGCCTGCTCCACAAACGCTGGGAGGGCACTTCTTACCCCAGGCTTTCTTTGTACACCGCGGTATGTCAACTTTTGCCTCTCCAAGCTCGCCGACTTATTGGACAGAATAAAACAGTGTCTCATGTCTTTGGAATGTTTTAATATGGAACGCAAAGATCGTTTGAACTATGCCTTAGTAGTTTAAAGCCAATGGAAACTCAGGTGGAAGCTCGTAGCAAGTATACGTGCAAATAGATCGTCTAATTTGGATATGGGGGTGAAAGACCAATCGAACCATCTAGTAGCTGGTTCCCTTCGAAATTTTCCTCAGGATAGCAGTTATTATTGTACGATGGTTTTATAAGGTAAAGGATTGCTTTGAGGATTCGGGAAGAAACTTTCTCGACCTATTCTCAAACTTTAGATCTGTAAGACTTTCAGGTTTCTTGACTGAACGTGTGCATGCGAGTATCAAGTTGTTGGTGAGCCGACCGGGGTAAGCTTGTCTGGCGATGCGGAATGAACCGAACGCAAAGTTAAAGCACAAAATACTCGCTTGTAAGATACCAATTTCAGGGCTAGTTCATTTGGCAGGTGAGTTGTTACACACTCCTTAGCGGATTTCGACTTCCATGGCTACCGTCCTAATGTTTGTATGAGCCAACATCTTCTAATGAAGTCAACTAAGTCAAGCTAGACACCATTCCAAATGAAACACACGGTAAATCATAGACTACAAGTCGATACGGCTGACCCTAAATCACATTCCGCCCACATTATATCGTGCAGATTTTGCATCACGTTGGGTCGTGACCAGGCTAGAAGGGTTTGAGGGCTAAAAAAACCAACGTATTACAGGACCGCCTGGGCGTACACCCCCTGATAAATACGCGCATACCCCCCCCGTGATGACGAATATGTAGCAGGGCCTCCAGAAGTGTACGCCGTTCAAACCTTCTTGTCGAAGCCGGGCTTTGGCATTGGAGATGTCTTTACTGGTGAGGTTTATTTGTAGATCTTGTTGCCGTAAGGTCGTAAGGATAAATTTGGGGGCTGCACCGGGCTTGAATATCTGTTGTAGGACCTGTCGCGCTTGATCTGTGACTTTACGTGCGCCGGGAAAGCCTGACATATCGGCTGTTGCCTTATGGTTGTGAGAACCCTCCTCTACCTTGACCCGCCACATCCATCCCTCGGTGGTCAAATCTCTTTTGATAGTGACGCTCCAGGGGCATTCAATGCATCTGCTGCTGGTCTTTCCCTTCCGAGTTCCATCAGTGAGATGTTCGCTACGGTTCGTGTACGCTAGGCCGTGCGAGTAGTGGAGCCAGGCCTTGCGTATTTCACCGCTTTTGGAGGGGTTCGAGCGAGTCCGTCCCCCCACAGCGTAGCCTTGGTCAAGTACAAACCGCTCTACTGCCAACTGAGCATCATCAAGAGAAGGATTAGTACGCTCGGATGGTGGTGCTAGCATTGCCGGAAGAGCAAGGAACAGAGGGGTAATAGAATTGAATGGAGGATAGCTCGCATTTAGTGGTAGAAAAAAAATCGACATCACGGGGTGTGTGCGCGTAGTTATTAGGGGGTGAACGCCTAGGCGGTCCCTACATTTTTAACCGCCATTTAGTCCAGAAAACTACCGAATCCATTGCAGCTTGAACACCATAAGGAGTGGGCGGTGTTCAAGAACGTTGAAAATTTCAACAAGAGGCATACTTCAATTTTGCAGTCCCATTCGCCAATCAGATTGTGGTCTACTTATCCCCCAGCTCAGCAACTACTAAGTATGAGCTTGGGGCCAATAATGTAAAGTTATCATTGACAATATGCTTTGCAGCCCGAACGAAATTAAATGCGTTAGTAACAAGTGCGCAATGCCTACATCCAATTGAAACAATGACAATGGTGTTAGTAACGATTTAAAGCTCAGTGCTCGTCCACCTGGGTGTTAAGCTCATCGATGTTGGCATGAGCTTCAAGCATACCGCTAATTTATACACTCTGCCAAGGAGGGATAATCTGTGCAAAACTTGGCGTCGCGAATGAATCCAAGCGGTCATCTTCGCACTTCTGCAGTGCGCTTTCAATTTTCATTTAGTGACATTTTGATTATACTACGATAGGCATATTCCCTGACACTGAATGGCATCATGCGCCTTGATACGTCGTACCTCGACATCGGTGTTCACTTCACCTGGCAAGGTCAAATGTCCAACTACCATATCGCTTCTCTGCCCATGTTTGGCTCTATTACTGGCCTGGACGAGTTCAACCGAATCTACAAAATGCTGGACGTCCTGTTCCCGCGATGGAGCAAGGCGCTTATTGGCGTGTCATCTGATGGTGCACGCAACGTGACTGATGATGCCCAAGGTATCGTGACCGGGCTGCAGCATTTATTGACGATTCTTACATTCATCTGCGTCTTGTGCCTGCTGCATAGAACGGATATCAAGATGGATGAGACATGGACGGGTCTAAATGTATATTCTCTCATGACACTTGTCGAAAGTATTATGCCGAATGGTGTTGACAGTGTCTCGTTGACGCTACGCGATCGACGTGACCGAAGATGAGCTTCACGCGCTAGACTATACTGTACAGGGTCACCACATGACTGAAGGAGCACCGTGTTGAGGTGCTGGCACATTAAATAAGTGTGTTTAAAGCTTGCACAAAAAACTGCACCGAGCTTTCCTTCCTGGTGGATAATCAACGTCATCACAGTCTTGATAACGTTTTCTGTAAATGAAGTGGTCCAACACCCGCAGGAGCAATTGCATCACGTTATGCCATTGATCCACCTAAATAAAGCAGCTTAGCGTCAGGCCAATGGCTACAATCATCTCAACAGTTTACATGTCTGATAAAGCCGCTGCTACCATAAACTTGGATATGAATGTTGTGCGTGACCGCTGGCGTGCTGAGATAGTGTTGATCCGCAACTATCGCAAGAAATTTCGACAAAGCATGAATGAAAAAGTTATCACCAGATTGATTAAGAAAGTTTACGTCTTCTTTTTTAAAACACTGGAGGTCATAAGTGATTATGAAATCATGCTAGACAAAGGGAAACAGGCATGTGAGCAGGCCATCCCAATCACAATGCGCACGATCTGATTGCAGCTCCGGGGCGTGACGTAGGA